AAAGAAAGAAAGAAAGAAAGAAAGAAAGAAAGAAAGAAAGAAAGAAAGAAAGAAAGAAAGAAAGAAAGAAAGAAAGAAAGAAAGAAAGAAAGAAAAAGAAAGAAAAGGTGTTCAGCTCTGGGCCAGACTGACAGAAGGTTGGCCCAGCCTGGTTTGAGAAGATTTGGGTCAGCCAAAAGGTGGTAGCCAAAAGACAGATACAGATACAGAAGGCCCCAGGCAGCACAGTCCCAGGCTGGCCTCTGGCTGACGGGGGACAAACAGCTGTAAAGGACAGTCCTAGGCCAGCTGACCAAAGAAATCGACAATCTAACGAGTGTGACGTTGTTACAGTGTTAAAGTTAGAAACGGGTATGACACTGTTACAATGTTAAAGCTGCTGTTTATTATGTTTATTAACATATCACACAGTATGTCAAAGAACATTCCACACTTCAGGTCTAATGCTGAGCAGACCAGGGGCCCACAGGGATAACTTTGTAAATCTGCTCTCTCCGGGTTCAGCAAAATTCATAACTCTTGGGGGGCGGGGGTGTTACAAAATGTAAATGATTGGAGAATCGAGTGAGAAAGTAGGGGGACATGGAGTTTGTTTTCATAATTCCTGAAAATTTTTTTAAGAAAACTGATTTTTATTTAAAAGCTCTTTTTAAAGGAAGATGCAGACTTGTACACAGTGGTGGCTGATGCATGGAATCCCAGCACTCAGGAGACAGAGGCAGGAGAATCCGCTAAGATTGAGGCCAGCATTGACTACAGGGTGGTGAGTTCAAGGCCATCCTGGGCCTGTCTAAGAAAAACAAAAAAAACAAAAAAAAAAAGAAAATTTTTTTTAAAGCAAGCAAATAAACACAAATCAGCCAGACAGGTCTCATAAATATTAATTAATTAATGTAAAGAAATAATTGAAGACTGGAAAGGAAGGTCGGGGTATGAAAAGGGCACCAGGCAGTGGAGTTACATCCTGCCAGACTTCAGCAGCTGGGAAGCAGGGGTGAGGCAGCCTTTCTGGGCAGATAGAATGAGCTACAAAGGCCACTCCACGCTCAGCCAGCACAGGGGTGCTGAGCAGAGCACAAACAACACAATGTGCTGTGAGAGAGGATTTCCGGTCACCCAGTGTGCTCTGCTTCCCCACCACCCGCCCTGGCCACGGGAGTTCCATCTGAAGTCCAGGGAGCCCATGGAGAGCGGCACCGAGGCTGCCTGGGAGCCTCCTCCGGGGAAGGCAGAAGGAGAACTTGGGTAGAATGGGGGCCCAAGGATCCCCGGTAGAGCTCACAAAGAGGGGTGTATCATAGCATCTCCTCCTTCTACCATGTTGTCAGCAGGGCACCCCGCTCTGCAGGGTTAGGATATAGAAAAAGGGGAAACCCTCAAAGGCGTTTCTCTGCCCCGCAACCTACTGCTGTGTGCTGTCTCTTTTTAGGTGTTCCTACTCATCCGTAAGTCCCCAAGGCCCCCAAAACCACCTGGGCCACAATCTCTAGGTTAAGAAGCATGCAGAGAGAACAAGGTTTCCAGGGGGCTATCTCCCCCACAATTTAACCATATACCTGTGGACTAGGGGCCTCGGTGGTGTGGGAGGTGGCTGGACACACAGACACAGACACACAGCCACCATCTGACATTAGGTGGTATATCCAGTGTCTCAGAGAGAGAGAGAGAGAGAGAGAGAGAGAGAGAGAGAGAGAGAGAGAAGAAAGAAAAGGGGCTTGAGCTGTGAACCGTCTGAGCAATTAAAACAGACTAGATATCTGTCCTTTCCTCCTCTCTGCCCAAGAACAAGACAGGAGAGAAGGCGGGTGTGAAGCTGGCCAGGCCCCACCCTCCAGTTCTGAGGTCAGAATGACCAACTGTTTGACATGACCCCATGTCCACCAGGCCTGCACAGATGTGGGTCTTCTCCCTCATGACGGTCACGGGAAGCGACCTGGGTCAGGGTTCCAGAAACACATCCAAAAGGGAACACGGCCGTCCGACACACAAGATGCTGGAGCTGAGCTTCAAACACCCTCGGTGCCGATCTCCCCAGGTCCCAACAGGCTGGAGCTCCTGTGAGTTTGAAGACCCAGGGGCCACACGTTTGGGACCGGGTCAGCTCAGAGTCTGTATTCAGAAATAGTCTATTACAACGGTAGGAATTACCTCTTCGCCTAGTTTTTCAATAAGCGTAAAAGAGCACAGAGGAGACGCTCTTGTGCTCAGCGCTTTGGGTAGAAGTGACAAATGGCAGCATGCCTCCGCTTACCCAGATGTCACATCAATACATGCACATCACGGAGGGAAAGTCGGGGTCTTCTCAGATTTAAATCACTGAAAATCAGGGGGTTTGGGAGTACACTTCAACCTACACGTAGGATGCTGCCTGAGGTATACCCTGACGCCTGGCTCACGGAAGCAGCCGTGGGCCTGGGCTAGGAGATCTGACTGTATTCCACAATTTGCTGTCAGCAAGCCACAGGCTCTCAGTCCCTTCCCAGTTAAATGGGGCGGCATCGTCCCACAGGCTGAGCTGGTGAGCTGCTTTGTGAATGCGGAAGCATGGGGCAGAGGTGACCCTCCACTCTCTCCTAGGGGCATCGCCGTGGTTACATGGAAGGGCAGTGAGGAGAGCAAATGACAAAGATGATCCGTGGCCCACAGATCACGTGGTGTAGAGGTGGATGAGCTCTTGGGAGTCTACCAGTTCAACCACCCTCATCGCCCAGCAATTGAAAGGAATGGCCACAAGGCAGTGACCATACCAAGGTCAAAAGCAGGCAGATGTGAGAGGTTAGAGCGGGTCAGCAAATAATGGCAACAGGCAGTGCTAGCCTCTATGGCTTTCTTTTTAAAATGGAAAAAAAAACTCACAAGAAATATATGCACCTCTATAAAAATGCAGTGCATACATGTATATGTACATATGAGTGTGGGATGTGAATAAAATTAATCAAGAAAAATGCTAAGCACTATTTAGCTCTAAATATCTTCAAGAAGATATGGATGCCTTCTCTTTCTGGGTGACCTGAAGTATCTAATTTACCCCAGTTATTTCCATTTTTATGCTCAAATTTTCATAAAAGCATTCAGCAGATGGCATGCTTATCTGTGTTAAAAAAAAAAAAAACCTCCTAGAACTAAGACTGGATTATCGCCAGGTGGCAGGACACAGAGTTAAAATACAAAAACCAATCCTTTCCAAGATACCAGTGAAAAGTGGAGTTTGAAATGAAAAGGCCAAACACAGTGCCAAAAGTGAAATATTTAGTATGTATAAGAGATGTGTGAGGAAAGATATCAAACTCTGAATAGGAATCAAGTAACTAAGTTTTAATGAAGACTCAAAATCTCCACCATGAGATAAAGATGGGTTTTTAGAACTAGATGTTCACATGCAAAAAAAATCAAAAAACAAATATATATATATATATATATGCCAGCCGTGATCCTACACTTAATACTTGAGAGTCAGAGTCAGGAAGATTTCTAGACTAAGGCTAGTCTGGGCTAGGCAGCAAGACCCTATCTCAAAAGACAAGCAAACAAATTTAAAAACCTAGACATAGACTTTGTTTCTTTTATAAAATTATCTCAAAGTAAGTCATAGATGAAAATGTAAAATGCAGAATTACAAAGTTCCTGGAGGAAAACAGACAGTTTTGAGCTTGGTGATGGTCTTATACAACACCAAACACATACTGGATGAAACCAAGTATCGCTCTGCTGGACTTCACCACAACTGAAACTTCTGCCCAACAAACCACACTGCTAAGAGAAGGAAAAGAGAAGCCACGGGCTGAGAGAAAACACCTGTAAAAGTGGGTAAGACATGACAGCTGCCAATTATATATTTTTAAAAAATAATCAAATTAAAGCAAATAGGCCAAAGACCTCAGCAGGCACCTCACTAGACAAGACACAGAGACAAAGAACACACACAGGACACAATGTTTTATATCACACACAGGCAGGGAAATGAAAAGCAAACCAATGAGAGTCCAGGACACACCAATTACAATGGTTAAAGTCAAGAACACTGACATGATCAAATGTTGGCTATGGCGTGGAGCCACAGGAATGCACACCCATTTCTAGTGGGAACACGGAAGGCGTGCAACCATCTAGGAGGGTACATCAGCAATGTCTTACCAAACGAATCGCACTCCTGCCATACAATCTAGTCATCATGTGTCTACGTATAGATCCTGATGAGTCTCAAGCATAGCCACACAAAAATCCTGCACATGGGTCCATTTTATAGCAGCTTAAGTCACATTTTGGGATCAATTAAAACGCCCTTCAAGAGGAGAACTGCAGTTCATCCTGAAAATGGAATACTATTCAGCATTAGAAATAACTGGCCTCTCAATCCATTTGAAAAAAACGAACCTGAAGGGACCTTAATGTGGAGAGCAAAGAGAAAAGGCCAATCTGCAAAGGCTGCACAGGTGTGTGCTTCTGACAACATGACTCAGCAGAGAAAGAAGCACTGTGGGTCCAGTCAGATGATGGGCATCGCTGGGGATGAGTGGGGGGGGATGGAGAAGCACGGCACAGAGTGTTGAGGGCAGAGGACCTGTTTGGGGCAGCACTGTGTATGCACGCCACTTTACATTCATCCAAAGCCATCACATGAACCCTCCCGTCAACATGGACTCTGGTGCTGTGGGATGGTCTGTATGTCAAATTGCTCTGATTGGTCAATAAATAAAACATTGATTGGCCAGTGGCTAGGCAGGAAGTAGGTGGGACAAGGAGAGAGGAGAATTCTGGGAAGCGGAAGGCTGAGGCAGAGAGACACTGCCAGCCGCCGCCATGACCAGCAGCATGTGAAGACGCCGGTAAGCCACCAGCCATGTGGCAAGGTATACATTTATAAAAATGGATTAATTTAAGCTATAAGAACAGTTAGCAAGAAGCCTGCCACGGCCATACAGTTTGTATGCAATATAAGTCTCTGTGTTTATTTGGTTGGGTCTGAGCGGCTGTGGGACTGGCAGGTGACAAAGATTTGTCCTGACTGTGGGCAAGGCGGAAAACTCCAGCTACACTCTGGGCTGAGGATGCTGGCGGCCTGTGGGAGGAATTCTGATGTGCTATTTGCCATGCACAATATGTCCTACAACAAATGGACCACTCCGGGGATGTTGGTAGTGGGGGGGCGGGAGAGCGGCGTATCTAAGCCTGAGTAGGGGCAGAGGGAAGATTGGGACAGTCCTCTCTGCTCTCTGTAACCAAAGCCACTTTAAAGACAGGTCGATTAAAGAAGATGGCTGTGCGTGTACAACCCTGAGTTAGGAAACAGCAGCATGAGGCTTCATCAAACACCTGCTTCGTTCTTTCATGGCTGTCTCAACATTTTGCCACTGTCCTCCTAGCTTGCTGAGTCCCTGCAGCCTCCCCCAGGCTCTGAATGTCACACCTAAGTCTCAAGACTGCCGGATACCTTTCTCTGCTGGGGCTCTACCATACCCAGAGCATTTTTTTACCCAGGCTATTTCCACATGTGTACTGGGAAAGAGCCCCCAGAACATACTCAGTAGCTGATTTCTCAGTACCAGACATCAGTACCTACCAATGTATCCTGGTAGGTATTGTAAATGCTGTGAATACGTGCAGAAAAATGTCCGAAAGTATCTGATCATGCCCTGGTACTCCACCCTAACCAATCAAAACAGATGAGAGCCATGAAGACCAAGTTATCATCCCACTGTTACCAGTCCTGATTCTGTAACCCTGCGTGAAGCCCACACAAATCACTAAGAAGCCTACAGTGCACAGACACTGAGTGTCAGGTTCGGGATGGAGGCCCTGAGCCAGTGGCCTGTGGGAGGAATTCTGATGTGCTATTTGTCATGCACCACATTCTAAACTTTCCTTTCTTGTTTTAAGAAGATTTTACTATTAAAACCTCAGACTTCTGGTTTCCTTCCAGACTGTCAAAAGCAGAGCGTGACAGGCTCCCTCTCCCATACCATGGTTCTCTCACAATGCTCACAGCACTCACTGCAATATCCACCAGGCCAATTATCTGGGGCTACAGCTAAGATTCTCAACTGCCGATCTTAGCTTACTGGAATTTGCACTCCCATAAACTCAACATAGACTATGGGAATGTTCTTCTGGAGACACGGTCCTGACCACTGAGGTGCTCCCCTGGGTATTTACGTCCTAACTCTGCACTATCCATGTTAACACGTCCCCTTTCACTGGCCTCTTCCATAAAACGGCATATAACCAAACATCACACAAGAAAAACCACGTAGTGACAACAAACTTTCTACATTCCCCATCATTTTGTCCAATCTGTCTTCCCCGGAAATCTCGGATGACACATGTCCTCTCTGAAGGATGTCTTTTTGTCAGTTTTCAAATCAGTTGCTATCTCTCTAGGGAAAACACAAAAACATGGCGGACAGAGGGACGCAGCAAGGCTCCCAGGCAGCTCATCCAGAGGCCTGAGCCTGTGCTCTGCTCTCCAGCCCCTGCAGCAGCCTGTTCCTTTCAAGCCCGGGTGGATCCAACTTTCCATGCACAGCTGACCCTGAGAAGAAGTTGGCTTTCCCTCCCACACGCCTTCCTTGACCCAAGTCTTGCACATTGAGTGAGTTAAAGTTTACCCTCACTCAACCTAGCAATTTCATTTCCCTCGGATTTCTCAATATCCACTTGGCTGTGTTTCCTCCCCAATTCCCATGTCATCTTTTACAATTATTGGGTAACCTCCCCTAGCATTATGGTAGCTGATGGAAACTTCCTAATTCTCTCATATTTAGCCTGCTGCTTTTTCTCCCCTTTTTAAAACTAACACAAATGAAACTCAAAGTTTCTCATTTCCTGAGAAGTACATATGTCAAAAGATATTGTCTCCATAGGTTTGAAGAGGTAACTCAATGCTTAAGAGCACTGGCTGCTCCTCCAGAGGACCTGGGTTCAATTCCCAGCACCCACATGGCAGCTCACAGCTGTCTGTAACTCCAGTTCGAGGGGATCCAACACACAGACATACATGCAGGCAAAATACTGATGCACATAAAATAAAAATAAACAAATCATTAAAAGATATATTATCCCCTGTACACCAGATTTTCAAAGAAATACTTCTGATTCACAGAGGAGGTATATAAAGTTTGGTACAGTGAAAACTAAGTTTATATTAGGATAAAAGCTTTTTACCAAGACAGAACCACATTGAAAGCACTTCCTGGGTCCTTCCCCTTCCTTCTGATCCCATCCCCCACTGTGCTTGTCAGCTGAGACCTTGATCCCCACTTCATTCGTGGGGATCCCCTTCTTCTCTTGCCATTTCTGCTTCAATTTTTTTTATGGCCTGAATTCTGAAAAATACCTGAATAACCACAATTTGAAAGCCTTAGACTTTATATAATGTTTTAGAGTCCCTGAAATAAGTTTTTCAAGATTCTTACTGTCATTGCTGTTGTGGTGATGATGATGAGAAGGAGGAGGAGAAGAATAATGAGGATGATGATCACAAAAATGATGATGCTGTTCTTGGTTTAAAATCCTTGACCACACAGAGCATTTATTCTTTT